GATCTGGATCTTTTAAAGGCAGAGGATTGCATGATGAAATTCAGATTGAGATAAATATGACAACAAAGAAAATTTAATTCTCTCTTCCAGGATATTTTTCTCTTTACTAAAAAAAAAAAAAAAGATTCTAGGGTTCGGAAGAATGGCCTTGGATTTTATAGGCGGGTAAATCTTCCAATGGGAAGTGAATCGTCTCTTGAGTACTTCCTAGATTGGGACAGCAAAACGTCCATTTTTCCTGCCTCTTTACTGATGTAAAATCGTATGTACGAGTTACACTTGAGATCTGGGCTGAATTTAAGGCCAGTAGTTGTTCAAGGCAAGGGGCCTCCCTGAAGGAAAATCATTCATCGTTAATAGTGATAGTTCAGAAACCGATCAGCGATGATGGTTTCCCAGTCATTACTCTGGGAACAAGAATTCTAAGTTTAGTGAATAGGAGACTCATGCCTAATAGATTAGTCATAGGAAATATCAATAGATATAGCAGCATGTTCTGAATTGCCAAGGGGACAAAGTTTCTAAGTATCACAAGAGTCAGATATAGAAGTAAGGAGTTAATCGAGTAAGGATGCATGTTGCTGAGAATTATAAACGAAATGAGTAAGGAAGTCAATTATTTGTCAGAGAGATTGACCGAGAGAAAATTAAAAGTCTTAATACTGGCGACAACATTAGTATTAGAATGATAAAGTCGCGTGAAATCGCCAAACACGAAGTTGTTTGCAGCTGAATGTAGAGAGATAAAGCTATTTCTATACTGTCAGATATTTTGTCTAACATTCTACGCTTATGAATAGAAAGAAATCAGGTAATAAGTAGCGAAATGAAGAAAGACAAATACTTAATATAGTGTAATAATGAGAGTAGAAATGACACGAAAGAATCACAGGGGACTCAAGAGACGATTCCCTTGACAGTGAATGATTTACCCGAGTATAAAATCCAAGGTCATCCTTCTAAACCCTGGAATCTTTTTTTTTTTTTTACAAAAAGAGCCAACGTCCTGGTTCAGAGAATTAAATTTGCTTTGTTGACATATTTTTCCCAGTTTGAATTTCATTTGTTTCCCTGGTGTAGTCTTGTAGTTGATGCCTAGCTTCGACATTTTCCTGTTAACAGCCAACAGCACTTCGTGATAACAGCTTATCCGAGAAAAAAACGAAAAAAAAACGATAATATAAAAATCCTTGCGTATCATATTTATGCTCCTAATTGTTATTACTCTTTCCGCAAAACTTGAATAGGAAAATCGTTAAACTAATTTGAAACACATAAATTATTACCAGCTCATTATAATAGATTTTGCAGCCAAGTTTGGTATCGTATAATTATTCTACGAGTCATTGATGGTTCATGTTGGAAGAACATATTGTGTGAAACACGTGTTCCATGAATTATACTAAGAAGCTTTTTCATCTTATTTTAATCAGCACGTTTCGGTTGATGCGTTTACCTCTGCACCAGTGTTATTTTTTTATTAATTCAGTTTTAGAATATGATATATATATATATATATATATATATATATATATATATATATATATATATATATATATATGCTCAGATCAATAATTCCATAGCTTAATCTGTTGTTTTTGCCTGAATGTTTATCTGAAATTTATGATCGATAAATATGAGTATTATTTATCACTGCATTTAGGGCGCTAGCAAAAAAGGAAATTATACTGACAATTTTCCGTAAAAGAATTTTTTTGGTGGGGGGGTCATAAAGATACTGATCTACATATCACACATATTTCTGTGAAATATCATTTCTCACTCACCTCAATACATTTTCTTACCGATAGTAATAAGATATGTGGATAACGTAATATTTGTCTGTTGCGTTCACTTCTCCTTAATACACTTGAGAAAGGCATGAATCCATCTCTTCTTTCTACAGCTGAGGGTTAAATCGCAAATTATACTAGGATTTCACGCCTTGGTTACAGCTAATCTAGGCGACATACAAATCTATATTCAAAGCCATGGAGAAAATAATAAAAATTTACGTCGCCATCATTCTCAAGATGTCTTAGCAATCGATATACATATAATAAATTACATCTGTGCATATTTTTGATTTCCTGTCTTCTGAATGGAGATGGTATTTAAAAATGTGCATATAAAATGTAAGGATTGTAACTTCTTCCGAAAGATATTTTATCGATATATACCGAAAACTAGCAACAAAACTATTGCCACCACCTTAACATTAGGAGCTGCTGATTTTAAGAAACCAATCGATTCTTAGGAAACGGTTTCCTATTTAAACAAGACTTAATAATTGTAAAGCATCCAAAAACTAAGCCTTTTTTTATCGTCTTAGGTAACCTTTCATTTTTACATTCTATCAACATTGTTGATATTAAATTCTAGGAGAGTAAAATTCATTGCAACTTTGTTTTCCCATGTTCATTTCTCTCTGTTATGAATTGCAGTGATTATATCCAATGAATTATATTATATATTATATTATATTATATTATATCCAATGAATTATATTATATATTATATTATATTATATTATATTATATATATTATATATTATTATATTATATTATATTATATCCAATGAATTATATTATATATATTATATTATATTATATTATATATTAATGAATTATATATTATATATATATTATATTATATTATATCCAATGAATTATATTATATATTATATTATATTATATCCAATGAATTATATTATATATTATATTATATTATATTATATCCAATGATTATTATATATATTATATTATATTATATTATATTATATCCAATTATATTATTATATATATTATATTATATTATATTATATCCAATGAATTATATTATATATTATATTATATTATATTATATCCAATGAATTATATTATATATTATATTATATTATATTATATCCAATGAATTATATTATATATTATATTATATATTATATCCAATGAATTATATTATATATTATATTATATTATATTATATCCAATGAATTATATATATATTATATTATATTATATTATATATTATGAATTATATTATATATTATATTATATTATATTATATCCAATGAATTATATTATATATTATATTATATTATATTATATCCAATGAATATATATTATATATTATATTATATTATATCCAATGAATTATATTATATATTATATTATATTATATCCAATGAATTATATTATATATTATATTATATTATATTATATATAATGAATTATATTATATATTATATTATATTATATTATATCCAATGAATTATATTATATATTATATTATATTATATTATATCCAATGAATTATATTATATATTATATTATATTATATTATATCCAATGAATTATATTATATATTATATTATATTATATTATATATAATGAATTATTATATATGTTATATTATATTATAATATATTATATTATATCCAATATATTATATTATTATATTATATTATATCCAATGAATTATATTATATATTATATTATATTATATTATATCCAATGAATTATATTTATTATTATATTATATTATATATATATTATATTATATTATATATTATATTATATTATATTATATCCAATGAATTATATTATATATTATATTATATTATATTATATCCAATGAATTATATTGAATTATATATATTATATTATATTATATCCAATGAATTATATTATATATTATATTATATTATATTATATCCAATGAATTATATTATATATTATATTATATTATATTATATCCAATGAATTATATTATATATTATATTATATTATATTATATCCAATGAATTGCTTAGTCTGCAGTTCAGAATCTTGGTTCACTCTGTCGTGCCTGACATTTCTTTTCGTCTGAATCTGTCTTGTACATGTATATATCTACAATTGGTACATGCACTGAATAATGCTGTCACTTCTTGTCTGGTGCCTTTGATATGTATCTTGAGATCTTACTTATAAAACGCAGATTGTGTGCGTGTGTGTCTGTACGTTTATATATTGGATCGAATTTCCTATATTTCAACCGATTTCAACAAAACTTCACAGGACTACGTAAAATTACCTTGCAGTGGTTCTGACAGCGCCAAAAATTGGTAAAACAGAGTTGTTTTTCCACGAAATCAATTTGAAAACACGATTAAGAGGCATTAATGAAAGGGGAACAACTCATATCAAGTTATACTTATTAATATCGAGTTATACTTATTATAAAACCCAGGTTGTGTGTGTGTGTGTGTGTGTGTGTGTGTGTGTGTGTGTGTGTGTGTGTTCATTTATATATGGGATCGGATTTCCTATATTTTTCAACCGATTTCAACAAAACTTCACTTTTTTTGGCAGGTAGTGTTTCTTATTGTCTTGCACACTTTTTTCTTTATTTTTACATTCAGAATGCTTTAAAAATTCTATTTACAAGACAATTGTTTATAATAAAATTCTATTCAATCGGTAGACTCATAATTGTTTGAGTTTGGGTTTGACCAATTCGTAAAAAAAATAAGTAAATAAAATAAAACTAATTAAGACATGCGTGTCCGTCAACCTTAAACAATAATCTTTGTCAATTTTATTTTTCAGTCTTTATGATGGTCGATACAGGACTATCTCTTACTGTTACATCTCCGGGCAACGCCGGGCTCTCCTGCTAGTTCTGAATAAAATCCAAAGAAGAATCTGCAATATTATAGAGTACCTTCCTGGCGTCTCGATTTCAGTCACTTTCCTACCGACGTAACTCAACTTCCTTCTAACTGTCTCTAAATATTTTTTTGCTTTTACTTTTTGCTTTCTGTCAACTGCATCTACGAATTTTTTTTTCAGTTGCTTTCTTCTATTGTCTTTTATCTTCAACATCCATTTGAATCTTAGTGGCTTCATCGCCTTACTTGGAGTGCAATAGTTAAGACAAAACTTTTTACAAAAGATCTGATGAGTTACCGAAATCTATAAACGGGCAAACTCATATTAAATCATCATACAGATTAGAGCTTACAGCCATATCACGTTGAAACTACCAGTTCCCATATGATCACCGAAGTTAAGTAATGTCGAGCCTAGTCAGTACCTAGATGGGTGTACACTTCGGAATACCATATGCTGTAAGCTTGGATGTGTGGGTGGTGTAAAAGATAATGGCTCGAAATTGTTCATCGGAGAACATAGTTCCAATTCGCGATGTGGTCGTGATATTCACTTACACTCAAATCACCTTAGGATACGTATGAATACACTTCTTCTCCCCCAGCTATAGATTAATTTAGTAAGACTTTTATGATTAAAATAATAGTATCTCCATTAAAACATCTGATCTAGTCTAAAAATATTTTATGGCTTTAAATAACCTGCAAAAGTTTGATGAGTTGTAGAAAACGAATCAATAAAATTAATCAAAATTGTAGATTAAATTTTGATGTTCTTTATATTTTACAGACATCCTGATTTTATATTACGCATTAAGAGGCTTACTCAACGGGAATCTGTCTGATTAATGATCGTGTTTCAATCCAATTAGATATCAATCATCATCATCACAGATATTGTAATCTTCCTCTTCATTAAATCAATATCGTCTTTGCTATCATCATCAAAGTTCGTTTATGTTCCCTAACACTAAACGTTTTCATTTTTGTATTATATATTTATCGAAGGAAAAATTGCAAATCAATTACATAGACCATATGTAGTAAGCCTGATGACTGCTCTATTAAGGTGGTTTTACATTAAGTTAAAATAAAAGTAATTCATATAAGCAAAATATATATTTAATTGGCACTTTAATTATATAGAAAATTTAACTTTTAAAATACTACATAAAAGTGTTTTAAACACTTTAATAAATGAATTGGCACTGGTGATATAAAAAAGAAAACAACGCATATCAATTCGGCATTTAATCTTCTGAAGTCACACACTTTATCCAGCGTTGTTTCCATTAATAGAAGCATTCCTGGAACTCCTTTTGGGTGATAGCGAACAGCTACCAAACCGCCTTCTCTTTAACTTCCTCGGTGTCCTGAAATCTTGTTCCTTTCAAGTGGGATTTGATTTTTTAAGAGAAAAAATCGCAGAGATGAAGAACTGAGGAATATGGTGGCTGTCGAAACTGGGACACATTGTGCTTGACCCCAAAACTGCTGTACAAACCATGGTTACTGATAGAAGATATGTGGTGTGGTGATACGGTCACACTCTGGATACTTTCCTTCCAAGGTCTGCTATAAAGAAAGAAAGAGAGAGAGAGAGAGAGAGAGAGAGAGCGCTTTATCTCTATACCCGAAAGTCTTCAAAGTAATTCTGTGCCAACCGACTTCTTTCTTCGTAATTCCACTACCGTAGCAACAGTCCCGACATTTTTTTTATCAGACCACGTATAATTTAATGAATTAATAAAGTTATGAGATATTCATATGCTTTTGTAAATCCTGAAGCTTATATTTCACATTATCATATGGTTGTCAAAATGGACAATTTATAAATATTTTTTTTTAACACTGGACTGTTCAAGTAACTGATTAACATACTGACAGTCTTAACTTTTTATTTCAAAGTTACCATTATATTTTTAATTACTCAACGATTAAGATTAAGACTAATGTGATGTGATCATAAGCCATATTCAGATTGATGCTATTAAGTGGATGATATTTACAGTGAGAAAAATATTCCCTATATTTTAAAAAAGGAAATTTATTTTGCGAAAAAATTCGATCCCATCTTTACTTGAATTAGATAATCCTGAATAATCACTTGACTTTTCGTACACTCTAAAAATGCCTTTATATTGGACGTTCAATTTTTGGTGTTTTTCTTTTAGTTTCTTTTTCTTTCTCTCATGAACTGCAATCCCCACACACTGAATGAACAGTGGCTTTATTATCACTGTTCGCTGATATTATTTTCGGTTTTGTAACTGAATATCTAAATTATTTGATGGTTACTACTTATGAATTACCGCTATAAGAATTTACATATATTTCATAAAATTACATTCATTTAATATTACAATTAAAAGGTATTTTATAAAAGCTTGTGTGTATTGTCACCGCACACTGAAGTTCTACGTAAATATTTTCCTCGATGTTTCATTGCTAGTAGGAGAAGGATAATCTGAAACTTATTCCACAGTGGTGGCAGGATGATTGGAAGTGGGACTGTTTGCAAAATAATAGATAAATTAGACACTGAAAAAAATAAAAATCGCCGTTTCCATATATTGAACTAAATTAGATTTATAGTAAAAAAAATTCAAGTTCTACTTTTAGTCGTACTAAAAATGGAATGATCTTTTTGTATGCGAAGTTTTTCAAGAGTTTTATGCAAAGTCTATGAAAATAGGTGCTTTGAAACTTGACGAACAGAACAATTCACTATATTAGTGAAGCTAAAATTTCAGTGAGTTCCTCGTGTGTCTGATTTGGGATTAATCTAAGTTTACGTGTTAATTAATATGTGGGTTCATAATTAATGTTATTCTATAATATAATTCTGAGTCACAATTGTGTAATTTCATTGTCAATAATAATAATTATACAAGACTATATATTTTAGCATTCCACTACCACTTTTTCATCAATGTCGATTTTCGTGCAAAAAGCGGATCACAGCTTCATACATATTTTCAGAAAACCTTAACTTCTCATTGGACAATAAATATTAAAATTATCTCATGTATCTTCACGTACATCGTTTCTCATTCAGCAAAACAAAACATATCAGGTTCCAGACTGTGTTTTGTAAGGCGCTTTCTGGGTGGTTAACAGATATTAAAAATACAATTTACCTGTTCACCACTACATCCAAATAACATCAACCTAGTTTCTGACCTGATGAAAAAACAATGCTTTCAGAATCCTGTCACGTGATGAAAAAACATATAAATTGAATGTACGAGCGTATCCAGTCATTGAGAATGTATTTAAATTATTTAACATGAAATAACTTCAATGTAATTCAAGCTAAAATTTCAACTAAACAACTCACTCAACAATTTCTTCTGCAACTTACTAAAAACTATTCAATCAAGCTATATTGAATCTTACGTAACTTAATTACAAACATTACGCACAATACATTCAACTACGAGCAAATAAAAAACAAATTAGAACATTTACGGAACATTCACTTCTCTAACTTCTTTAAAGCTAAAAGTTTATCAACATATTTTCAGCTTTACAGGATTCTTTAAACTCTCTTTCAGTGAACATTTTGAACAAGTTAATTCAAATTTTTGTGAGCTCAGGTAAAATATTTTAGTAGTAAAGACTTTAACCCAGTCAATGAGAGGTAACTCATATTAACAATTCATGTAAAACCGTTTACATGTATAAATATAAATATTGTCCTGCTATGAAAAGTTATTGTGTTCTTTCTCTTGTTTGCTTTTCGTTTCCTTACACATTCGTAAAGTAAAAAGTGTGCGGGTTGATTTACGCCGTCAATACCGCTACAATATCTTTCATACATAAAATTATTGGCTTATTCATGTCTGGAATTCGTAAATTAATGTCAGCGTGCATGTGTACAGCTTTCTTTCTTTTTCTTCGAACGTCGATCTGGCGTTGATGTGAGGGACACTGATTTTTCTTTCTCTTCTTATCATTTGTTTTCCCGTGTATGCACATTCGCAACTCAGCAGGACCAACCGTTTGTTTACATGCCAGGTGTAGCCATTAACATTCAGTGAAGCTGTCATGGTGCCTACCCAGACCGACAGAATGACCTCCTCCGAACCATATATATGTTACGCCTCTCAAGAGAGACGAACAGTATTAGAAGAGTATTAGTACGGATTTGGTATTGGGACGGTAGTGAATCGAGTCGAGCTGATAGCAGTCACGCCAAACCAGTCGGACAGTCTTGCTAAAACGTTTTCACGTCTTTGTATTATTTCTTTTGTAATATATTCTTTGTTATTTCTACTATTGTGTTTCGTGTTGTTCTTCCATGGTCCTAACCTTGGATCATAACAGAAGCTCGGTTGTGTACCTGTTGACTATGAGGTACGTTCCCTGTCAACGATCTGATGTGCCTGATCGCTCTGATGCTCTTGCATTTCTTGGTGTCACTTAAGATGATACACTAGTATATTGGGGTTACCACCTATCAATTACTCTTAGAACAACGAGACTTTAAATGCGTTTCATGTTTCTGGCATTATCCGTATACTACGCTTTAAATATCTGGAATTTTGAATAACCAGACATGTAAAAACTGATGGTCGACCAAGCTGTCTTTAGGGTGTTCCCACGTAGATCAACCAATAACAAGAAAATGTATAAGCGCCCATACGAGAAAAAATCTCTAAATAAACGCGGAAGAACTTATGTTCGAAGAAGACACCCACTTTTGCTAAAGAACATTCTTTTTTTTATTGTATTTCTATTAGATTCATTTCCTATATTTCTCTCTCTAAATTGTATTAAAAAATATTCTTTATTTCGTAACTCTTTTTCCTTCACTCATCTCGATAAAAAAATAAATCATATGGCATTATTAATAGCATCAATATTATGATCGACGTCACCGCAGCAATATTATTAATAATAATTTTCAATCTTTGGCTTTTGAAACTTTTTCTATACAATAATGAACTTAGAACTTCGCATTTTCTTTTCCAATTAAAGAAATTGATTAAGCAATGTACTTTAGATATTTATTGTTTGTTTTACGATTTTTCTTTAATCTTCCTGCATATCTTTTCCACTGTCGCTCTCAATCACGCTATCACACATTTGTACACTTTATATTACTAGTTTTATTTATTAATTAATTGAACTCATTAGTTAAATCATTCTTAAAGTAGTATTTCCGTCAAAAATGCATTTCGTCTTAGGCGAGCTTTTTATGAAACTTTTGTATTTTTCTCAAACACAATTTCCCCCGTTTTCCGTCTCATATTTGATGTTCCATATTCGACGGCATCTTCACCTCTTTCAGCTAATTTTCAAACAATATTTATTGAATTATTTGTTGAATTATGCATGCGCTCATTCAACGATTGAAATTCTTTGTTACATTCAGTTCATCTAAATTAGATTTTAGTCTTTCTTTCCTGTTGCAAGATACTTCTTTACATTTATTCTTTTTTGCTCAACTAAATCAAAT